AGATTGCTCTGCTAGCATCAGCCATTCAAAGACCATCTGGGTCTCTTCCAGGTAACTCTGAGACTAACCCTCGTGCGCATGTCAACGCTATTACCTTAAGAAGTGGTAAGCAGGTAGATTCTGGAGATCCACCGATGGTTGAGCAAGGCGATAGCTCGAGAACCACAGTTTTAGACACTACTGATGATATACCTGAGCTAGCTTTCGTGCCTCCTCCTCCTAGGCCACCACCAGTACCGTTTCCATCTCGCCTGAGGAAGCACAACGAAGAGAGCCAATTCGCGAAGTTCGTTGAGATGCTGAAGAAACTCGAGGTAACCATGTCATTCACTGACGCTATTTTACAGATTCCATCATACACGAAGTATCTCAAGGACATTCTGACCAAGAAGAGGATCGCTGAGAAAGAAACTGTGGCGCTTACTGCCGAATGCAGTGCTTTGATCCAACACGACCTCCCGCTTAAGCGGTCTGATCCAGGTAGCTTTTCAATCCCTTGTAAATTGGGTAATGTTTCCATCGACCGTGCACTCTGTGATCTAGGAGCTGCCGTCAGTCTTCTTCCATTATCGATCTTCAAGAAGCTGAATGTGGGTGAGCTGAAACCACTAGAATGACTCTCCAACTTGCCGATCGTTCTATCAAATACCCCACTGGATACTCGAGGATATGCCGCTGAAAGTCGGAAATTTCTATATCCCGGTTGATTTCGTGGTTCTCGACATGGACGAAGACTCTAAGGTACCTATCATCCTTGGTCGTCCATTCCTTAACACTGCAGATGCTGTTATCCATGTTAGAGCAGGTAGACTAACAATGAAGATTGGAGATGAGACGGTGGAGTTCACTTTGGACAAAAATCTCAAACAACCGTCATCAACAGAATCTGCTTGCTTCATAAACACACTCGACAATTCAGCTCAGAAGTATGAACCGATCGTTTTGGGCCAGGAAACCGATCGGTTTGCGCATGATCTCAAAGCCAAAACTCTACAGAAAGTCGAACCGATCGGTTCACGACCTTCAACCGATCGTTTCGAAAACAGAGTTCGAAGCACAAAGTTGCAGAAACTCAAACCGATCGTTTCCCTTTGTGAAACCGATCGGTTCGAGCACCCTTTTCGAGCTTCAGAGATACAGAACTTGGAACCGATCGGTTCTACATTCTCCAACCGATCGGTTCAGACCCCAGCACGATACAATGCCTCACTTTCATCTCGCATGGGCGCTCACGACCTCTCTCACTCAGATCAACAGGTCACTAGCCTATCAGACCACCATTCTCATACACCTCTTGATCCAGGTTGGCGAAAGATCGATAATCTTCGCCTGTTAGACCCTTATGGTAGTTGAGAAGGTTCGGTCAAGCTAACGACCTTAAACAAGCGCTTCCGGGAGGCAACCCGAATTTGTAGGTTAGTTTTTCTTTTCTTTCTTTTCTTTTTTGCATCGGATATTGGTTTGTGTCTCTTATCACCAGGTTGAGTTCTAATGAGGAGCT